CACCCATCACAGAAATAAAAATATTTGAGAAAAATAACCTGAACACGTCTGTCAATGTATTTGGATTAAAAAAAGAAAAGAATAAAAAACATATTATTTTCCCACTTAAAGTTGTGGATGAAAAAAAAAAGATCATTTCGATCTACTATTAATTACCAACGGTGATAAAAGCCACTACACCTACATCTCTAATTTTTCGAGACTTGTGAGATCACAAAAAACATCACACACCTAAAATGTTGTATTTTTTAGGTGAACTAGATTCTGGTGTTTGTCATCCCGCGGATGAAAGACTGTGTGGGCGGTGTTGCATCTTTGTCGGCGATGCTGGGTTTTTTGATCCGGGCCTGCGGGCGGGAAGGGGGGGGTCGTCGGGTATTGTGTTTTGTCGTGTTGGCAGCACTGGTTAAGCGGTAATTTTTGAACTCGGAAGAGTGTCTAGTCGTAAGTCACGCGATTCAAGTCGATCGTACGACACAGCCAGCCAGGTAGGCCATCCGAGGTACGCAGACGACGCCCCGGTCGTGTATGTCCGGTTCTGGAGTGAGTGTGTTGAAATCGGAAATTCGGGTTCTGAGTCTGAGTGTCTAGCTATCAGTCATCTCGGGTGAAAGACGATTCCCGAGTGTCAGATGCAGTGGGGGTGTAAGTCGTTTGTATGCAAGTAGCTAGTCAGGCAGGCAATCCGACTACGTCGGATCGCAGACCATGCACCGGGCGTGCATGTCCAGTTCTCGTATATGTGTTGAAATCGGAAATTCGGATTCTAAGTTTGAGTGTCTAGCTATCAGTCATCTCGTGTGAAAGTCGATTCCCGAACGGACAATCCGCCTACAGCGAAAAGTGCTCAAAACGGCCGTTCAAATATGAAAAAGCATACAGGAGGTAACAAAATTGTATTTTTTGATAATTATAGAGAACAGTTATCAGGTTTAGGCTTCATTGTAATCAATGTAATGTAATCAATGTAATCATTGTTATGTTTTTGCGGTTATAACAAATAAGTCGACAAAATCTAATTTTCTGATTGGCTGCTTTTTTTACCGCGTCAAGAGACATCTAATGCATTGCCAGCTGCATGTTGTTTGGTTTTTATCAATCATTTCTCAAAACATCTTTGAAGTGAGTACACGTCGCTTATAGTACCTATTAAGATAATATTTCTTAGGTTATGTATCTAATAATTTCATACGTATTTGAATAAAACAATTTTTTTTTTTTGAAATCTAGCATGCCGAAAAACAGTCAAACTCATAGTTACAACGGCCGTGGTATGCTGGTGTACAATGCACCCGTATACCACAATGCTGTCCCCGTGCGGCGTCCGGGAGGAAACGCCCGACGTAAGTATCTAATAGAAAAAAGCACATGCGTGTTGCATAAGCCAAGTATAACACTAAACATGATTTGTACGTTTCAGGATGTTACAGGTGCCAACAGGTGGGTCACCTGGCGAGGAATTGTGGTAAGTTTGTCCTATTATTTATTTTTTCACGTGCTAAACTTTTGTAAATTTTATCAGACTCCCCCTGTGTGGTGCCTGCGGCATCGCCGGGCGCGTCCTCGTCGGGGCCGCAGCAGGAACCACAACAGCAGCAGCACCAACAACGTCAGCGGCAGCGGCAACCGCAACGGCAGCGGCAACCGCAGCAGCGGCGGGGCCGTGGGTTAAGGTAAGATCGCAAATACCAAAATATGTCAATTATCATCAAAAACATAAAATGTATTGTTTTCAGTAGTTTTGTCGGTCAAATGTCGAGGGCGGTGGAGGAGCCGGCCGCAGCCTCGACACCGAGATCAACGGGTGAGGAGGTGTTGGGGTACACGACCGCCTCCTCAACGCCTCAACGCCACAACTCCAACGTAAGAATAGTCAATATTATATAAATTAAAATATTAAAAAAATATAATTATATACATCATTTTCAGTGTGATCGGGTCGGCAGAAAGTGGGAGGTGGGAGGTCGTGGAGGATAGTAAGTTTCAATTAGACGATTTTGTCTGCTTCATAATTTATTTAACAATTGTATTTTTTTAAATATTTTTCAGAATGAATAAAGCACCATTTCATGTAACTTTTATTGTTATTTATTATTTCCTTGTTCCCAATTGTTTTATGAACTGTAACTGTAACGTTTGTCAATTGACAATTGTGTGTGAGGTGTGTCATTAAATATTTTAGTAGTTGGTTAACAACAGTAATATATTATTAGTAATAATAAAACAGGTAAGTGATGTGTGTTGCTGGTTTGAAATGTAAGTATTGAAAACGTTATCTTGATTTTATTCATCAGAATAGAGTTTACTTCACAAAACGTGCTAAAAGATAATTAATCATTATAACTGTAGTCCACTGGTGTTTAAATTTAGTAGTTTTATAAAATCCCACATTGTAATGACATTGTCGGGCAAGTGTTGTAATCAATTGAAAATATTTGTATAGCGTACATTGTTGTTAATACTGACTGATAAATAATCGTATTGTTACATAAAATAATGTACACCCTAAAAACTAATTGATAATATAAAATAATTAATAATATTGTTGTTGAGAATATAAAGTAGTTAAGTGTTATCTGTGACAATTAGTATATTATATCATTGATTATAAATACGTTTATATATATATATATATAAATATAAATAATATAAGTATTTATAATCAATGATTATAATACGTAGGTGCTGTTCAAATAGCTTTTCAATGGTCATTAGACTAATTGCAATAATTAAACAATAAATCTGTTTTTCAGTGCCAATTAGTGTTATGACTTTCCAAATTTTTTAATATTAGCAGCAACATATTAATAAAAATAATAGTAGTGTGATAAATGTTACTATACATGAGAGTATTAATAAATAATAGCTATTAGCTACGTGCTACATAGATGAACAAATAACGTATGACTGTTATCTATAGTGTTAGTTGGAATAGTCTATATCAATCGTTGATCGACAAACGGCGTGCCGACACTGTAATATTTTAGTTATGGATTTAAACCAATAATTGATCATACTCAGAGATAAAGACCTAACAACTATATAATATTAAATATATGTGTATTATCATCTATAGACAGTAATATATAATATAAAAGTAATACACAATAAGTATAATACTATTAAGTATAATACAATAAGTATAATCAAACGTAATGATATGTATAATAATTGAAATACTACAGTCACAGTTAACCAACCATCATATAATAAGCACAAACAACAAAAGTGTATTTACCTACACACGGTATCGACAGTAAAAAATAAAAAATTCAACGTGTTGTAGGTATTTTACAGTTTGAACACAATGTTACATAGTTATAAGGTAATTACAATTGCGATTGAACAAATAGGTAATGATACGGCATTTTACAAAATATAGCAATTTCTATTATATAGTACTTCGACAGTCGTCCATAGACATTAAAGAACGAATATAAGGTTATACAATAACATAATTAATCTTTTAAGTTAAATACAGTGACAATATTTACAGTGATCACAGAATTAAATTTGTCTTTTTTGATGATATAAGGTTTAACAATAAGAAGTAAAACAAATACATACATTAGTTTATACATTAAAAGCATTTGTCATTTTGTTGGGTGTCATTTCAAAAATGTTTCTAAGGGTTTTCAGTTGTGGTTAACATGAATGAAACACAGAGTGGGAACTGAACCAATAATATCACTGTCGAAGGTAGCAGTGCAGTGCTGTGTTGGCCTGGCATGTTGTGGTTTGTATCTCAATGTTTCCACACAAAACAGCCTAAAAATACAATATACCAGTTAATTAATTTAATGAATAAGCTTATAGTATAATGTAGTTCTTTAAAGAGTGAGGCAGAATCAATTTTGTCATTTTGTTTGGTAAAAATACTTTAAGCACAACGTCAGTATATCTTTATAAAACCATTATAAAAGTTAATAACACTATTAAGGCAATATTGGGTTTATCTAATAAGGTCTATGAATTTTTTTGAACTCATATTAGTCTAAGTTAAAATGAATGCGTTATACGTATAAGAGTATTCTGTTTACATATTATGTGAACATGAATTGAACACGGGGTAGTTAAACATTAAAAATAAAAGTCAATGAAATATTTCTGATAATAAATTAACCTGAGAACATGACAAAAATATTAAATTGTATAGTGAATAGTGAATAAAAATAACACATACAACATATAATAGTTCTCAAGTAATAGTTAACAGTGATCACAGAAAATCAAATGCATTAACCTTTATAATGAAGAATATCGAAGTATACTCATGAATATAAGGTTTTACAATAAAATATAAACATTAAAAGCATTTGGTCAATGAAAGTAAATTTTTATAAGAGTATTAAGTTGTGATTAATACAAATGAAACACATTTTGGTGGTTTTGATATGTGTGGGAAATGAATAAATACTAATGCAAATATTCATAATAACCTCAGTGTTGTGTCGAGAAGTCTCCAGAAACAAAAAACCTCGAACAGAGCTTGATAGACTTGTGACCCATGGTGTTGCACTAACTGCGTCCATATCCGTCGAAACCTAAATATAAATGTGAATGTGAGTGTAACGGTCATGTTCATTGGGACGTAAATGGTTCATACTTACTTGTGTATAGAAACTCCATGGCGGCATCAATGTTTCCACACCAAAAACAGTTGTTCACAATTTTTCAACAGCCTGAAAATGTTAATTCTATAAGTATGCTGAAAACCAGTTAATTAATTTAATTTCAAAACGTTTGACATTAATTACGAATTCACTTTGCAGTGAATAAGCATCCAGAGAGAACCACGGGGAGGTCAAACTTTCTCTGCACAGGACCACAAAGGTCGGACCATACAGGTACCCGCTGTCGCATATAGCGACGGCTAAACTTATAGCAAATAATTAAAAATTATCGGCATAAGTGATTTAGACTGTAATAACTAATAGGTATTAAGTGTAATTGCACTGCTCAAGTTAAGGTTGAACAAAAACACAACATGTCTGAATACACTATATTCCTTGTGATAAATTGAACGGCGTCGCCACGTCGCCAGCTTTTATTGATTCCGAGGCCCGCACTCGTGAGAACGCAACGTACAGTTGTCCGTGCGTAAACACCGGGGACGGCAGAAACAAACCAACTCTGTCAAAAGTTTGGCCCTGAGACTTGTTGATCGTCATCGCAAACGAAAGTCTCACCGGGAACTGAACCCGACGCATGGTGAAGGGCAGGTCGTCGTCTCCGCTGAACGACAGCGGTATCCTGGGGATGACGATGTCGTCCTGCCCTTCCCCCGCGTCCGCCAACAACCTCGCTTTGAAGTTGTTGCGCCTCAGTTCCGTAACCACTAACCTTGTTCCGTTGCACAGTCTGATTTTCGGATCGTGGTTCCGCAGCAGCATGACCACGGAACCGACCACCAGCGTTAGCCTGTACGGAGGAAGTCCGTCGGGCTCCAGCGAGTTCAAAAACTCGGTCGGGTAATTGGCAATCTCGTCCACGTCGTCCGCCACCACCGTGTCTATGGCGGTGTAGGTTCTCGCGGCACCCGTGACGCGTTGCAGCACCGTGCGATTGACCTGTCTACAATCCTCATTCCGGGGACAGAGAATAATTTTCCGAGCAAAGTCGTCGATGTTAGCCAACGACATTTGCTGCGGGTAAACAAAATCAATCAAATTAGCTATGTCACATACCATATTCCTGGGGATTTTGACGGTGTTCACATTTCCGTCGACCGCGGGCAGCTGGCCGTTGCCGAGTTGAAGCAACCAGGCGGCAAAGTCCTCGTCGTTGTTAGCCCGCATGTTCTGTGTCAGGCTGAAACGCTCGAAGACGTCCCACAGATGGTGGTGCCTGATTGAAGCCGCCACGATCGCGGCCCTCGTCCCCCTGCGGACCACCGGCAGTATCTGTCTGAAGTCACCTGCGAATAGAACCGTCGTACCACCGAACGGTAGTTCCGATTGCATTATGTCCTTTAGCAACCGGTCGACAACCGTCAGTTGGAGCCCCGGAGACATGGGCGCTTCGTACCAGACGATGAGTGCCGCCTCCCGTATCCTATGCGCGCGCAGAGACTGCATGGCGATGGACGACGTCGAATCTTCGTTGAGTGTACCGAAGGGCAAACTGAACGTCGAGTGAACGGTCATACCACCGTCCATGAGCGTCGCCGCTATTCCCGTGAACGCCACAGACAACACGGATCTGCCCATGGAGCGACCATATTAGGCAGCCGTAAAGCGTCGTTTTCCCAGTACCACCGGGCCCGTCGACGTAGAACATTTTCGGGACGTCGCGGTTGTCGTCGACGGCCGCCATCACGCGATCCCGCTGTTCGTCGTTGAGGTTGTCCAACTGCAGAGTCCAACGCACCACTGCGTCGACGAAAGCATAGACGTCTCCACCCGCGTCCTCTTCGAGCAGCTCGACGTCCGGATTCGACAACCCGTAGTCGGCCAGCGTTTTACCGTGACCCCGCAGCAGCCGCCCGATGGCGTCCAGGCACGCGGCCCTCGCGCGGTCCTCGTCTCTCAGTCTGTGGAAGAAGTCTTGCCTCAGGTCTTCCTCGCTTGCCATGTATATCGCCAGCGGATCAGCGGCCTCACAGTACAGCAGGATCGTCACCAGTAGGTAACGCAGCTGTGCGGGAGTGTCCACGGCCGCGGACTCTGTCATGCACGCCAGCAGGGCTTGGTCATCCTCCAGGAGTCCAAGCGCCACCGCCGCCGCCGCGTAGGTCGGATACACGACCCCGTCGACGGTCCTCATGTCTCTGAACGACTGAGGACCTCTCCTGTGCAGCAGCAGCAGTCGCAAGAGGAATCGCTCTCGATCTAGGGGGTTGACCGCGTACATCCGAGACAACGTCTCGTTGGCCATTACCCTTTGGCGCCGATTCCACCTCCTGTCTCTTTCCACCCAGGTGTAATGCATCGGTATCTCATGGTAGAGATACTGTCTGACCTCGGGGTCCGTCTCGTTGAGCGAGAAGAACGCCGTGAGTCTTGTTCGGGCCAGCGCTGCGTTTTGCACACGCTCCAGTTCTTGTCCCGGAGCGAAGTACACCGTGTGGTAGTCTTCCAGATGGACTGGAAGCCTGATCACCCTGTGACTCGGATTATGCAACTCGTACGAAAACAGTCGCCAAACTGCTTCTGGCGGACTGACGTACCGAGCATTGATGTAAGTATGTAACTGAAACAAACGAAATTCGTTCGATTAATACACAATAATGTTATGAGTAGTGATAATAATAATACATCCATTTTAATAAATAACAAAAATAAAATTTATATCATACAATTTAACTGCCAGAATTTGATTAGTTCTATTAGATCTATTAGTTAGTTTATTTTATATAATACTCTATCTATATAAGTTTTATTAAATAGTATATAGTCATATCATTATACAATTTAATTTTCAGACTAATTAAATAGGTACCTACATAAAGTTCTATTTTGTTTATTAATATTGTATTATTTATAATCTGTAGCAGTATTTGTATGCTACACTAAATTTATATAAACTGTAATATATCAAGTACCTACTACATAGTATGTTATATATTTACTATCTAACCACATAATCGAGCCCTCGTCTAACTCAGATGTGTTGATAAATAGCTGTGGATTTAATTTAATTAAATACATGAAGATCTATTAGTTTATAATAAATTATTGTATTATATAGTATCTGCAGCAGTTTTGTATCATACATAAAATTTATAATTACCAAATTACATTACCTCAAACAATCAACTCACCTAAAAACTGTAATATATTTAGTACTACATAGAGTATACTTGTAGGTTTGTTATATTACTATTGTCTATTCAAGTATATATTATAGGACTATCCCATATAATCCAGCCCATGTTAAACAATATATTTGGAGATAATAAAATCAGGTGTTACCTAATTTATTATTTAATAAATAGTTTATTCCATATAATACTCTACCTATATAAGTTATATCAAATAGTATATTGTCACATAACATTATACAATTTAATTTTCAGACTTTCATTAAATAGGTACGTAAAGTTCTATTTTGTTTATTAATATTGTATTATTTAGAATCTGTAGCAGTATTTGTATGCTACACTAAATTTATATAAACGACTCACCTAAAAACTGTCATAATCAAGTAAATACTACATAGTATGTTATATATTTACTATTTAACCACATAATCGAGCCTATGTCTAACTTAGGTGCGTTGCTCAATAGCTGTGGATGTCAATTAAATATAGTTATTTATATTACATCCATATAGATAATTATATTATGTAAAAAATTTACAATGTCAACTTATAAAAATAATAAAATTTAAAAATTAAATAAAATATTTTTTAAGGTCAGTGTACTACTGTATGAATTAATTATGTAACATTAATATCAAAAACATAGTAACCGAAAAGTAATCATTATTTTATAGTATATTGTTAATTTGCATATAAAAACAACAAACAAATAAATATTTAAAAATATAAGTTGAGTATAAGTGTTTTTTTTTTTTTAATCATAGTAACAATATTTAAGGAGTTATACATCAAAGTTAATAAAGAAATTTTGTTTCGTTGTCCAAGTATGCTATATTTTTAAAATGACTTTTTTATTTTATTTAGTGAGTTAAAACAGTTATAGTATATGAAGAAATAAATTAACAGATGCTTACTTTTCAATTTCATTTCTGTCTTGGACTTCTACTGTAGCCATGTCGTTGCCTTTGAAGACGTATTTGTATAAATACTTTAAGCTCTTCACAGTAGAACACACCTCTACGTTGATGTGTGCATCGTACTTGGCCAGCAAGTACGGGTTGTAGGCAACTACAAACTCGTTGCTGACCTGGTGACCCCTCACGAGGGCCTCGATCCCGTTGTCTCGTCGACGGTACGTTGGGTACCCGCCGTCAGAAACGTAAACTGTCTCTGCACTATATGCCTTTGGATATTTCTTTAGGCATATCCCTTCAGCCATACACGGACTGTCGCGGTTCAGTTGCCCACATGGTCCGTGTATCATGTATTCATGTGCCTCGTCACAGCTGTGAACAGTCTCTGATTGTTCTCGTCTGCTGGGTCTGTGAGTTCAGCGCACACGACATCGTCTACATCCTCGGCTGTGAGCAGCTTGTTGCCATCGCTAAGGATGATGAGTATGTGTGCGTGTGGCAGACCGCGTTTTTGGAACTCAACAGTGTAAACATATGCGTCTACGTTACCAAACACTCTGTTCTCAGTTATGTCTGACATGAGCTGCTTGAGTTTGGCGTGAAACACTCTTGCCTCCAGTTCGGGTCTGTCACCTGCAACTGCATGATTTCCTTTGTTGCTGACGATCTCAGGCCACCCAGGATTGCAAGTGAAGGTAATGAACAGGTCGGGTTTGCCGTATTTGCGCACTATGGTCATTGCATCCTGGTAGCTCTGTTTCATGTAACAACGCGGACCTCCAGTGAAGGTCGACGGCAAAATCATTCTGCGTCCAACCGGGGCAGGTTCTTCAATGTACAACTGCTGGTTGATGTGATCCACCAGGCCCTGATACGCTTCGGCAAACAGGGCTCCCTGATTGCGTTCAATGAACCGTAGGTTGTTTGTTTCCATTCGTACGTATTGTTCACAGACGTACTGTTGAAACAGATAACCAGCACGGTGTACCAGACTGAATTTTTGATGCCTGTGGTCGTTAGTTCCTTCGTAACGAATGGCCAGACGGTAACACACAAATTCTCTGATAGTGTTGCGTGTGCGCACAGCATTTTGCCGGCCACCATCATCTTGTCGCAGTTCGAAATGCCAACCCAGTTCACCGTGTGGGAACAACAGGGGGTATAGCATTGGATCTGCGTGCTGGGAGCCGTACGATAAGTTTTGCGTCCTGTGTTGTGGGTTCACTGGATTCGAGTCGAACACCACCAGGTCGAGGTTTCTCGGCGGTTGGCCATTGTTTCCAGCAAACACGACCGAAACTTCGTTGACTTGAGTTGGCGGTAGATTGTACTGCCTTGGGTCACTGTTTGGGTCAGCCACTAAGTGCATGGTGACTCTCCTGGGTTGCACCAGAGGCAATTCTCTGTTCCTCCAGCCACACTGCTCTCATGTTGCTGAACGCCATGGCAAATGGATTGGTTTGCCTCAGCATCGTGTCCAAGTCTGTAAGCACTGTCTCGTTCAGCTCACCCTGGTGGTTTTGGTTTATGCGAACCCGATTTGCTTCCCCAGATTCAATGAAATAGAGCTCACAGTAACTTGGGGGTCTGTCGTCGTTTCTGACGACGTCGTTGGTGATCCTTCGATACACCTGCCCGTGTACAGTGAACACTCTCGGTCCGCGACCAGGCAATCTTCTCTGATTGAGGTCAGTGGAGAAGGCGGCAAACGCAAGAGTGTTGTTGTACCGTCTTATGTTTCTACGGAACTGGGTTGCTATCCGTGAGTCGTCTACCAACAAACTCTGTAGCAATTCAGGTGCTTGTTGCAACCGACGGGGTCCTTCAGGAATCACCATCTGATTGTTGTTGCAACACAATGTGAAATGACCCCTCAAAGTGCGTTCACAGTTGAAGTGACGGGCCTCACAGTGCCTGCAGACTTCATTCAACGGCACGATGTCGTGCCGATCCGGAAGTGGGTGTCGAACGCTGGCTGGCCTGTCTACTCGTGGCGCATGAACTCTTGGTAGTTCAACAGCAACTTCAGGGTTGAAGTCTTCGAAAATGTCCATGAAGAACTCGAGTTCACCGGGAAGGACATCGACTATCTCGACGTCTGCCGGCAAAACTTCGTCGTCCATCTGGACTTCCATGTTGTCCACGTCGACAATTTCCACATTGTCTTCGTCCATAACGCCGTCTTCCATCACAACTTCAATGATGTGGTCCACATTGTCTTCATCTTCCATCACGACTTCCATGTTCTCCACGTCTCCATGTTCTTCCACATTGTCTTCGTCCATAACGCCGTCTTCCATCACAACTTCAATGATGTGGTCGTCCATCATGGCGTTTT